CTTATATTCCCCCAACTCCAAGTGCGCAGCCCATTCTTGTATTATGAACTTGGTTGTCTGACGATTTTCACCGCCAATCACACACAGACAATCTCATACACGCCCAAACATGCATAAGACAAAGGGAAGAGGAGACAAGAGTCCACACTGTACACATCAAAGAAGGCAGCGGAATACAACCATGCACACATGGGGGAAGACAAACAGTGTTTCCCACTCTCTGCCAATACTCCCAACAACCAATCACAAGGAGACACCTGCGAGGATAACAATAGGACTTACACTGATGATGAGCCAACTCAAACCAATTATCAGAACAGACTTTGTTTCAGTATCTCGCCACCCTCAACACTCCACAAACCACTCTCTATCCTACACTCATTTAGTAACGCAACCCTTAAATGGCCTCCCAGAGGCCAGCGCCAACCGCCTAGATGGAAAACAGATGCCGCGGTGAAGTCTTCAGCGCCGATGAACAACTCTGACGAAGAAGCTGGCAGCTATGGTTGCCACACCACTGATGGAGCCCTGATACTCCAGAGGAGAGTACTCGACGAAGAGCCTCAGAATAGCCCAGCCAGACGGAGATACCCACAGGGGTAGAGGCTCTCCTGATGGCCCAACTATGGCAACCTCCAGGAGGCTGGCTATGGCTGCCGTCCACGGCAAGGGTCTCAGGATGCCGCCTGTAGACAATCACCACCACCAACTTGCTTAGCCCCAAACGCTGCTTCCCAAAATGAACAGCGAAAAAGTCCCTAAACTCCAGGCTCCGTCATATTAATAAACAAGCCTGCTCTAGACCTAGACCTACTGGGACTGGTGCCGTTTCAGTTTGGCCTGTTCGACCTGGACCCTATACGGTGTAAGACCGTCGCTACAGCCCAAGACCCGCTGGGCCTGCTGTCCTAGTGATAGCCCGGTGCTGCTAGAGGCAGTGAGGGTACTAAAGGAAATTCGGGGTACTACTGGGAGTATAATTTTCCCAGATTTACAGATGTCCCTCCTGGATTTCCCTCGGACTGAACTCACGGTTAGTCCCTGACAGTGGCTGACACAAACAAAATTACGAATCCGACCCTAAGACACGACTGTACTCGCAGTCAGATCTCGGCAGCAGAAATCAGCAAGTCATTAACACCTGTGTTATCTTCTCAATCTCCTCCTTACTCGTGCTGGCTTCACCTCTTCTTCTTTCCAATGGGACTTCTTCTTCTACCTCTGCTCCTTTCTTCTTCTTTCTCCACCTCCGCTTATATAGCCACCATCTTCTCCTCCTCCTTCGTCCACTTCTGCAGCTCTTCCTCCATTTGCTTTTTCTTCGCTTCCTGCTCTTCTAGCTCTCTCCTTAATGTAGGGGGTGGTGCAATTCGCTCTTCTCCATCCTCTCCTTCCTCTCTCGCAGAAGGGCGGCAGCTCTCTCTTCTTGTTCCGTGCTGTAGGGGGTAGTGCTAGCTCCGGACCTGGTGTTCAGCATGGTGACGGTGCACAATCAACAATGATTCCGCGCCTCAACACATAAACCCACCAGGTTAACCCATCTCTAGGGGACTTCTACTCACTACTCGGGTTGGACTCACAGCTCTACGACCACATTCACAGCGTCCTATTGACCTAACAGAAATGACAGGGAGATATGGCTGACTCATTCGAACAGACTCGACGTCAGCAAGTACCAACATGAAGATGCACACCCATAGGATAAAGGATAGGACAGGGCTTGGAAACAGTTCCAGCTATGGGGACCTTTTTCTTCTTTGTCACTCTCGTCGTTTTCTTCACCTTGGCTATGGCCGACTTTGTCTCCCTCTTCATCAACTTCCCTCTTCTTTCTCTCTGCATCTCTTCTTCCTCCTTTCTTGATGGTGGTCTTCTTCCCCGAGCTTGGCATCTATGGCCACCGTCGTCTTCCTCCAGCTTAGCTATGGCCGCCGGTGTCTTCCTCACTGGCCAGCTATGACCGCTATCTTCCTCACAACCCACTTCCCCACCGGACACCTGCAGACCTCCAAGCACAAGAAACCAGCGCAGCTCTTCCACATGGCTCACAGTCAAATGAATGAATGGCTGGGCGCTGCCTCTTTATTTATACTTCTTCGGAGGTACCAGGGCCTGCCTCAAAACATGTGGGCCTGGGCCAAAACGTGTGGCCCAGGGAAGTTTCCAGACGTTTGCCCTTCTGGGGCAAATCCAACATCAATTCTTATTCCTATTATGCAAAAAAAAAAAAAAAAACTCGTACTAATTCCGACCGTATCCTTTAAATTGCACCAAAAACAAGTTCAAAAGGGTGTCCAATGCAAAAAGTGTACATGCAGGAGATCCAACAGATACCCCACCAAAGATGAAGCCTGCAGAGTGCGTGGAATTCGGAAAAACGAAGTCACAAAGGCCCTTTTTAAAAAAAGGGCATGCTGTGGGGTACAGAGATCCGCACAGCACAGCAAGCTTCTGCGTCACCACTGAACCCTGAAGAAAGAAAGCATAGTGGAAGAAAGAAAAAAAAGACAGCTGCACCCCATATGAGGAGAAGACAGCTTTATTCTTTGAGGGGGGGGGGGGGGGGGGGAACAGCTTAAAATTTTCCGGATCTTAACAGTGACGAATGTCTTAACCCCAGCACATCACATCCTGATTGTGACTCTACCAGGCCAGAAAGATAGGTTGTGCACATTCATGATGAAGGTGGTTTGTGTGCGGGGAACAGGAGTCAAATCTGTGTAGCGAGCCACAGTACCGGCTGTGAACTGGACATCCGGGTTCTGATCACTCATACAGCAAGAGCGACTCTTGCAATGACTGTATGCAAGAGTTGCCCTTTACAATAATTTTGATTGATAGTAATCTGACTTCATACAAAAACAGTGACCAGTATCAAATCATTGCTGGTAGCAACAGCACTTATTGTTATATGTAATACAAATCTCATCACTTATGTACAGCAGCACAACCCTTACAGTACTTTAGACAAGAATGGACCCTTACAATTGGAACAATGATACAGTACACAGAAGATTCGCATAGATAGACACGAACGGATTGAAAAGTGGTACAAAGAACGAAAACATTGGAATGAAAAATAATTTTAGAAAGTCAACCTCCGTCACGCATCAAGTGATTCTGCGGTTCCTAACTCATCCAACAACAATGTCATGACGTGCTCTGCCTGTCGACACATCCTGCAATGATCATCCATGCCTAGACAGAAACAACCACACCTTGTTCAGCAATGACCCGCATCAACCTCCAACCTGAGACCTTTGGGGCTTACAAATGACTAGCAGGACAAGGCATCCTAGCTCGTCTGAGTCCTTACTCCCTGCCACCGTCGACAAGACAAGTACGTCCTGTTCCCACACGTGAGAGAAGCTCCGCTGCCCTAAGCTGCAAACGGTAAAATCCACACAAACAAATATCAACCAAAATCTCGATACCAGTTCGAAAAAAGGGAAACCAAATCACCGTCCATAGTTATCGATACCCATGTATAGGAAAACCAGATCTCGATAATTACGATTTCAGCAGTACCAGGTAACGCAGAAGCGATCTTCGTAGAGGTCTCTAGGATTGCCTTCTTCCGCTGATGGTTTGATTGGCGTCCAAACCATGGATTCGTCACAGGTTTGGTTTCGCGATTTAGTTATAAACAACGTGAGACAAGCCTCCAAACTAGGGCTCTATTAATCGCGTCTCAGAGAAGAAGGTCAACAACAGAGAAAGGACAGGGTACACACGTGAGCGGGAGTGGAAGGAGAGAAGCAGCCAAGTGAGGGGTGATAGGGAGAGGAATGCACGGCACAGAGAGGGATAAAAGAAAAAGAGAACACTACAAAGGACGAAGGGAGAGGAGGGAGAAGGGAGAAAAGCTGGCAGGAGAAAGGAGGAGATTCGAGCGATCATCAATCCGGACAGCGTCTTCAGGAGGTAGAAAGGGAAGAAGCACAGCAAGGACCAGAGCCCACAGGAGAGAAACTCCAGCCCATCACTGGATACGAGCGAAGAAGGTTTGAGGTACCAAAGAGAGCCGTGGATCTCTACCACCAAACACACGCACGCATGAGTCGCGCACGCACGCTATCAAAGAGATAGAATAAGAGAGAACGACGGAGATGGAATGACATAACAGGACGACGACAAACTGGAAATTATGCCGTTACCTGAGACCTGACGATCACAGCCGCAGACCAATTTCACGCACGCCTGTTTCCTTACCACGCTACCAGGCCCGCACCCTGCTAGACGTTGTGGAATTGCGACCTGAAATGGTCCAGAGTCCAGACACACGATGAGTAAGCCACAGCATGCTTGGATGCTATTTCCGCCTACGCCAAAACCGCCATACCACACCTTCCACTGTAGCAGACTGCCGTCATGATCGGCCCTGAAGGTTCAAGCCCTACTTCTGGATAAGTTAACTCGGCACAGCCACAGCCAACTCTCTCTCTCTCTCTCTCTCTCTCTCTCTCTCTCTCTCTCTCTCTCAGCGACCGACAGACAACTTCGGCAAAATGACCGGTTCTTTCAAAATAGGGCTTGGACTTCCCGTTACATCACCTCAAATCTTCGATAACTGTAAATCGTTATGCCAAGTGCGGGATTCAACTACCGTGCAGCGGTATCTTTCTTCATTTCCCGTACGTGGGTAGTAGTCATGTTCGCCATTTCGCCCTGAGCAATGACAAAGAATCAGTCTTAGGAAACGAACACACTAAATCAGTGAACAAGTACACAGACACAAACGCGCGCACGAACACACGCACACACATACAACAGATGTGTGAACAAAGCACCATACCCGTGGAAATTAGAAGCTAAAATGAACACGTAGAATGTCAGATGATACTAAGACCAGGAATCTCATGAATTTTACTCTCTTCTGCAAGGCTAGACTCCCCATCCTGCATTAGACACCCCACCCCTCAAACCCTTCCCGACTATATGGATCGATACTTCAATACACTTGCTCCGTTTCATCACGTCTTCTCCCGCTGCTTCTTCTCGATATTCGGCGTCATTTATCCGTCCCGCTCGGCGGTCTGTCCCTGGCCTTTGACGTATGCAATCTGCTGTACACTGCTCATCGCAGGATTGTACCAGGTGCATCACCACGCCATCACAAACACACGCATGATGTTCCTGAAGCCAATCGTCAACATAACCATCGTGTAGCACAGAAAAATAATCATCCACTAAAAATCACGTATGCAAGACGCCTGGAACCGACGGACGCGAGGGCGAACATGCACAGATCGAGAAGACAAACGTCCAGATAAGAAGGAGGTGTTAAAAAACACCAATATAATGTATTGACGCCACTGTACAAGCGGCGGCAATGGCGATCACGTACACCGCCAGCAGATAGCGGAGACTTAGCCACCGAAGCCGTACAGAGTCCGGCCCTGTCTCTTCAACGAATACACAACGTCCATTGCCGTCACTGTCTTCCTCCTGGCATGCTCAGCGTACGTAACTGCATCGCGAATCACATTCTCCAAGAAGATCTTGAGTACGCCTCGAGTCTCCTCATAGATGAGGCCGCTGATTCTCTTCACCCCGCCACGCCTCGCCAACCTGCGAATGGCTGGCTTCGTGATGCCCTGGATGTTATCGCGAAGAACCTTCCTGTGCCTCTTGGCACCTCCCTTTCCCAATCCCTTGCCTCCCTTTCCTCTTCCCGACATGGCTGCTTCTTGGATCGCTAGTACAATACAATTGATGTCTTTGACGGCTGCTTCTCCCCGCAATAGACGACAGCACAACGGGAACGGCTGGTAGCAAACTACTGCGATATGCCTCAACAGTTAGATGATGAAGCCCTACTTGTACTCTGCACAACCAGTCCGGGGCCGCCCAACAAGTCAGGCCGGCTCTAGAAGCAAGAACGGTCAAATTTGCGGTCGCGTCCCAGGAGCGCGGGCGCTTCAAAATTTTCACGCCAAATTTTGGCAACTACTCATTCTCCCGCCTATCTGCGCCCGAATTCACGAACAAGCGAACTGGTCCTCCCGCCTATCTGCACCCGATTTCACGAACCAGCGAACGTTCTGCCCTCCGGCAGAGCGAGCCTGGTGCGCCTTTCTTCATGTGAGGCCGTAGATTATGGAGATCGACGGGCAGAGAGATGAAAAAAGCACGCGCCAGTGAGGCCCGGCCTCTTGCAGAGTTTGCGAAGGGAATCAGTCCGTAGGGAATCGGTCCGTGATTCCGATGTGGATAGGCGCACTGGTTCACCCGAAATTTTTCATTTTCACGCCGAATTTCGCCAATTCGATGCGTGAAAACCCTCCGGCTCCCCAAAAAAAAAAAAAAAAAAAAAAAATCCTACCGCGCCGCCACCGAGATATGCCGTTGAGCAGAGACTGTTGATGTTCGCATTTGCCCTGTTCAGGGGCAGGTCCCACTTACACGGATTAAGCGACATTGACCGTAGATTGCAAAGATCAAGGCCCAGAATCTCTTAATCCGTGCAAGTGGGACCTTGCCCCCGGCCCTCCGCGTTGGCCGCTAGTTGGAGGGCCTCGGTTTGACCGGTTTTTTTTTTTTT